TAATTGGGAATTTCTTGAAAAACTTTGTGGGCGCAAAGTGGGTGATCACTGTATTTTTCTCTACTGATTGCGCTTTATATTTGTATTTACCTTCTATAATTATAATTATAAACAGGCAAAAGACTCCTCTAAATCTTGGATAAAAATATATTTCATTCAAATTGATGGAGTAGACGTAGAGCGCAACGAATCGATTTATATAATTGGGAATTTCTTGAAAAATTTGTGGGCGCAAAGTGGGTGATCACTGTATATTTCTCTACTGATTGCGCTTTATATTTGTATTTACCTTCTATAATTATAATTATAAACAGGCAAAAGACTCCTCTAAATCTTGGATAAAAATATATTTCATTCAAATTGATGGAGTAGACGTAGAGCGCAACGAATCGATTTATATAATTGGGAATTTCTTGAATAACTGTGTGGGCGCAAAATGGTGATCACTGTATATTTCTCTACTGATTGCGCTTTATATTTGTATTTACCTTCTATAATTATAATTATAAACAGGCAAAAGACTCCTCTAAATCTTGGATAAAAATATATTTCATTCAAATTGATGGAGTAGACGTAGAGCGCAACGAATCGATTTATATAATTGGGAATTTCTTGAAAAACTTTGTGGGGGCAAAGTGAGTGATCACTTTATATTTCATTGATTGCGCTTTTATAAAGTATTTATACATTGCTTTATATTTGTATTCTATAATTATAATTATAAACAGGCAAAAGACTCCTCTAAATCTTGGATAAAAAAATATATTTCATTCAAATTGATGGAGTAGACGTAGAGCGCAACGAATCGATTTATATAATTGGGAATTTCTTGAAAAACTTTGTGGGCGCAAAGTGGGTGATCACTGTATAAACTGATTTGCGCTTTATATTTTGTATTTACCTTCTATAATTATAATTATAAACAGGCAAAAATCTTGGATAAAAAATATATTTCATTCAAATTGATGGAGTAGACGTAGAGCGCAACGAATCGATTTATATAATTGGGAATTTCTTGAAAAACTTTGTGGGCGCAAAGTGGGTGATCACTGTATATTTCTCTACTGATTGCGCTTTATATTTGTATTTACCTTCTATAATTATAATTATAAACAGGCAAAAGACTCCTCTAAATCTTGGATAAAAATATATTTCATTCAAATTGATGGAGTAGACGTAGAGCGCAACTAATCGATTTATATAATTGGGAATTTCTTGAAAAATATTTGGGCCCAAAGTGGGTGATCACTGTATATTTCTCCACTGATTGCGCTTTATATTTGTATTTACCTTCTATAATTATAATTATAAACAGGCAAAAGACTCCTCTAAATCTTGGATAAAAATATATTTCATTCAAATTGATGGAGTAGACGTAGAGCGCAACGAATCGATTTATATAATTGGGAATTTCTTGAAAAACTTTGTGGGCGCAAAGTGGGTGATCACTGTATATTTCTCTACTGATTGCGCTTTATATTTGTATTTACCTTCTATAATTATAATTATAAACAGGCAAAAGACTCCTCTAAATCTTGGATAAAAATATATTTCATTCAAATTGATGGAGTAGACGTAGAGCGCAACGAATCGATTTATATAATTGGGAATTTCTTGAAAAACTTTGTGGGCGCAAAGTGGGTGATCACTGTATATTTCTCTACTGATTGCGCTTTATATTTGTATTTACCTTCTATAATTATAATTATAAACAGGCAAAAGACTCCTCTAAATCTAGGATAAAAAATATATTTCATTCAAATTGATGGAGTAGAAAGTAGAGCGCAACGAATCGATTATATAATTGGGAATTTCTTGAAAAAACGAATTTGTGGGCGCAAAAACTTTGTGGTGGGTGATCACTGTATATTTCTCTACTGATTGCGCTTTATATTTGTATTTACCTTCTATAATTATAATTATAAACAGGCAAAAGACTCCTCTAAATCCAGGATAAAAAATATATTTCATTCAAATTGATGGAGTAGAGGTTGAGCGCAACGAATCGATTTATATAATTGGGAATTTCTTGAAAAACTTTGTGGGCGCAAAGTGGGTGATCACTGTATATTTTTCTCTACTGATTGCGCTTTATATTTGTATTTACCTTCTATAATTATAATTATAAACAGGCAAAAGACTCCTCTAAATCTTGGATAAAAATATATTTCATTCAAATTGATGGAGTAGACGTAGAGCGCAACGAATCGATTTATATAATTGGGAATTTCTTGAAAAAATATATTTCATTGTGGGCGCAAAATGGTGATCACTTTATATTTCTCTACTGATTGCGGTTTATATTTGTATTTAACTTCTATAATTATAATTATAAACAGGCAAAAGACTCCTCTAAATCTTGGATAAAAATATATTTCATTCAAATTGATGGAGTAGACGTTGATATTTGCGCAACGAATCGAATTATATAATTGGGAATTTCTTGAAAAATTTGGAGTAGGGAGCGCAAAGTGGGTGATCAATGTATATTTCTGTATATTTCTACTGATTGCGCTTTATATTTGTATTTACCTTCTATAATTATAATTATAAACAGGCAAAAGACTCCTCTAAATCTTGGATAAAAATATATTTCATTCAAATTGATGGAGTAGACGTAGAGCGCAAACGAATCGATTTAATAATTGGGAATTTCTTGAAAAACTTTGAAAGTTCACTGTATATTTCTCTCACTGATTGCGCTTTTATATTTGTATTTACCTTCTATAATTATAATTATAAACAGGCAAAAGACTCCTCTAAATCTTGATAAAAATATATTTCATTCAAATTGATGGAGTTTAGAGCGCAAACGAATCGATTTATATAATTTTTTCTTGAAAAACTTTGTGGGCGCAAAGTGGGTGATCACTGTATATTTCTCTACTGATTGCGCTTTATATTTGTATTTACCTTCTATAATTATAATTATAAACAGGCAAAGACTCCTCTAAATCTTGATAAAAATATATTTCATTCAAATTGATGGAGTAGACGTAGAGCGCAACGAATCGATTTATATAATTGGGAATTTCTTTTTGTTCTTTGTGGGCGCAAAAGTGGGTGATCACTGAATATTTCTCTTCTGATTGCGCTTTATATTTCTTTTTACCTTCTCTAATTATCATTATGAACAGGCAAAAGCCTCCTCTAAAACCAGGATAAAAATATATTTCATTCAAATTGATGGAGTGGGCGTAGCATGCAACGAATCGAATCATATAATTGGGAATTTCTTGAAAAATTTTGTGGGCGCAAAGTGGGTGATCACTGTATATTTCTCTTCTGATTGCGCTTTATAATTCTATTTACCTTCTTTAATTATCTTTATGAACAGGCAAAAGCATCCTCTAAAACCAGGATAGAAATATATTTCATTCAAATTGATGGAGTTGGCGTAGCATGCAACGAATCGAATCATATAATTGGGAATTTTGAAAAATTTTTTTGGTGCATAGTGGCTGATCACTGAATTCTTCTCTTCTGGTTGTGCTTTATATTTCTACTTACCCTCTTTAATTATCATTTTATATATAACATTCAAAAACCTCATCTCTAGCCAGGATATAATATATATTTCATCAAATTTGATGGAATGTGCGTAGTATGCAACGAAGTCGATTCATATAATTGGGATTTCCTTGAAAAATTTTCTGGGCGCAAAGCGGGTGATCACTGTATATTTCTCTTCTGATTGCGCTTTATATTTCTATTTAACCTTCTTTAATTATCATTATGAACATGCAAAGCCTCCTCTAAACCCAGCTTAATAATATATTTCATTCAAATGGATGGAGTGAGCGTAGCATGCAACGAAGTCGACTCATAATTGGGATATCTTCGAAAAATTTTGTCCGTGGTTAGTGGTTCATCACTGTATATTTCTCTGCTGATCGTGCTTTATATTTATATTTACCTTTCTTCATTTAGCATTAGGGTTAAATAAATCCCACCTCTTAAACCTTCTTAAATATATCTTTCATTCGAATTTAATGTGTGATTGTAGCATGCCAAATTTCGACTTATATAATTGGGATTTCCTTAAAAAATTTTATAGCCGCAATGTGGGGGATCACTCTTTATTTCTCTTCTACTTCGCACTTTATATTTACTTTTATTTAGCATGAAACCTACTTAAATTTTTTTAAATTTAAATTCATTGATTGAGCGTAGCCTCGAAATGTATGGACTATATAATTGTTATCTCCTTGAAAAATTGTGAGTTCCCAATGTATGTGATCACTGTATATTTCTCTTCTCTTTACTTTATATTTACATTTACCTTATTTAATTTAGTATTATGGACATGCAAAAATACCTCCTCTATAAGCGGCTTTAAAATGTTTTTCATTCGAATTCATGGAGTGAGAGTAGCATGCAAAGGATTCTGTTCTCACAGTTGGTATTTCCTTGAAAAATTTTTGTGGGCACAAAGTGGCTGATCACTGTATATTTCACTTCTGTTTACTTTATAGCCTTCTCGTAGAAAGTTTGCTATTCATCGCTATAGATCCTAGCTAACTTTGCTATTTTTCATCCAAGATCATAGATTCGAACGATTCCTGCTCGGTGCCTGAAGAAGACATGGGTTTATACCTTTCATATTTGCGGCCAAGTGAATACAACTGATCCAACTGGAATTCGAACTCAGTTCTCCGATTTCACGAATTCCTTTCTTTTATTATTTGTGAATTAATATGAATACATGAGGAAGGTAATGAAGTGGTTTCAAGCTGGCATCGTCAGGGTTGTGAATTCAGTGTAGTAATCCTTGTAGTAGACTGGTTGTTAGCCAAGTCTTGAGTGTTAGTCTATCATGCTAGTAAATCCATAGTTGCAGGAGTGGGTAGAGATCTGATGTCTTTTCCACAACATTTTTTGGTAATCAAAAGTAAAAGAAATGTTTATTGGAAAGAATATGTTCAAGAAATCGATTTTAAACCTCTGACGTGCTCATCGATTTTCTACCTTGAGAATAGAAAAAAATGCTGCTTATGTCATTAACATAGATAGATAGATAGATAGATAGATAGATAGATAGATAGATAGATGGATGGCTGAAAATGAAAGAAAGAAAGAAAGAAAGAAAGAAAGAAAGAAAGAAAGAAAGAAAGAAAGACTGGATATACAGTGAGAGAAAGTAGAAGAAAGAAAGCAACAATCTTCCCGTGATATTTCTAACGATGAATGTTAGATTCGTTCAATGTTTTGTGGTATTAGTCAATCCAAGTCTAAATGTTTCAGTTTAACACTGGTTGGACCCGTCGAAGTTTTATCCCATTTTATTCTAAGAAATCACTTTAGGAAATAACATCTGATCACCTGAGATTCTGGGTTAAGTGATTGTCAAAACAAGAATGTCAATTTGTCGAGTAGAGTTGTTTGTTTTGATATGAAAGCGACAACAGTGATGTAAGAAAGGAAAAGTGACAACAGTGAGTTAAAAGAAGAAAACGGAATATAGAAAAAGACGACGTGACTGGATTTTTAGACTATCAGTAGTTTGAGTTTGTAGCCAAAGCAAGTGAGCAGCGTAGTGGCCTTGTGGCGCAACGGTAGCGCGTCTGACTCCAGATCAGAAGGTTGCGTGTTCAAATCACGTCGGGGTCAAACGTCTCTTATTTTATTCTATTTTCATAATATAATCTTCGGCGTTTTCCAGATGTCAGTCACCGAAAAAATATCATAAATACTTGTGCCTCGAACTTGAACAGAAAATCAACCGAATTTAGTAGTAGAAATGTTCGCATATCTACCTGTTCACAATGCACTCCGGTTTTTTGATCAAGAGAAGGTTTATCCATTTTTCCCTGTTTAGGATTGGGTTTCTGGGTCCTTATAAATTATTTTCATTCTCGATCACATCCAGTAAACCCTTGCATCTCTGTGACATAGTCACGCTTCATGGGGTAAACTGATTTAAACAAAAAAAGAGAAAAAACTGTTCCAAGAAATAGGACTCATTTCTAAAACAAACTATCAATGGAATTGGAATCTGTAAACCTGAATCCATTATAAATACTAAAATTAAATAAATACTGAACACTTCAATTACCTCGGCGGATGAATCAGTTATAACAAATTTAGTATAGGAGAAAAGGAAATACATAATAGAATAGGTTGCGCAAGAGGTAGTTTCATCCAACACCGCCAATTGCTACAAAACCAAAACTTTATGCAGAAAACTCAAGTCATGTTCTTAAATAGCCTCATCAGGTCGAGATTTTCATGTGGATGACATGGCGCGAAACCTGTTTAGAAATTACAAAAATGTCAGTTGTATACAACCACTATCTCAGATTAATGGTTAAAAAGGCTTTCAGCAAATGAAGCCTGAGAAAGAAATCTTTGCAAAGATCTTTGAACCTTGTGGACTGGTGCTACAGAATCATAAACAAAGAACTGTGCCAAATAACAGAAATCACATTACTTGAGGACTACCTACAGCAGCAACAGCTAAAATGGTTAACACATGTTACTCGAAGAGAAAATAATGATATAATTAAGATGATAGTCAAATAAAAGGTTCAGTTGGAAAACTCCATCAATAATGGAACGAACGATAACAGCTACTGCACTTGGGAAAGCGTTTTTCCTGAAAATGTTAGAAAGGTAGCTTCCATCTATACTGGAAACAGTGATAACAGCCACTGGACTTGAGAAACCTATTTTTCCTGAAAATCGTTTTTAAAATTTCAACAGTAGTACTGGCTGCTCGATCAATGAATGCCGATTGTTTCCTTGTAGGGAAGCGGCTAATATTATGAGTATCTTACCAGAATTACTATATTACATTGCCACGTAGACGCCATCGATATTGAAGCACATGTCCGACCCGTAAACATATATATATATATATATATATATATATATATATATATATATATATATATATATATATATATATATATATATATATATATATAGTCTTGATGAAAAGACGCCAAAAAATTTATGAAAACAAAAAATTTTATCGTCAAAATGCTTATGTTTTAGGAAGAGATAGACCAAATTTTTTTTTATGTATTTTTTTTAAATTTTTCCATCTTTTTAGAATATTCTAAATTTTGATTTAAAAACCTTGTTTATCTTTTTTTGCAAAAGGAATACTAAATAACATAGATAATTTTTAGCGTTTTTTTTGGTATTTATACCTATTAATTTGGAAAATCTTGTAAAAATAAAAATAATTGTCGATGTTAATGAACTTTCAGAAAATATTCACAGATGATCAAAATTATTATGAATATGTTTTTTTTATTAAAGTCATGCCAGAAATATTTTTTTTTATTTTTATTAACACTCTATATCTAATTTTATGAAAAAACTCAAAATTCCATACCATCGGTTTTAGTGATTACAATATTTAAAGCACAAGGCTTTGAAGAATGTAAATCATGTTTTGTTTTTTTTTTTTAATGAACCCATTACCTGAAAATCAGCTCTGAATTGTAACATACAAACTCAATAAAAACAAATATACTATTTAATCTCAAACGCTTTTATTTGTTTTTATTTGTTCGTATGAATATGGACAATAATTTCTGAAAGCAAAAAATTTTTTTCAATGAAAATTGAATTTTAATACAAATTATTTCTCATTTCTTTAATTTTAAATCGAAATTTTAAAACTTTTCATTAAATTTTTTTAAAATTATAAAAATAAATAACAGCACCATCCACCTTTGTACTTCTCTCTTCTTAGCTCGTCATTGTCTAGGGATTTGAAAATTGTATAATTTGGACCAATCCGATGATACCCACTAATGAAGAAATGTAATTATGTTTTGATAAAAGGCGCTTAAAATGGTTTGTCATTAAAAAAGTACGGAAGGTCACAAGCTATAAAACGTCACGTGGTTTGAGTGTAAGCGTAGATTTCATTATTTATAGTATTTATTATCTCTATAGATAGTATCAACAAAGTTATGCTTTAAGTTCCAGTAATAATAAAAAAAAATAAAGGAAATTGGAATGCTAATTTTTTTGTTTTTTATTATCTACTAATTACGGGGTAGTACATAAGCTGATTCACGTAAAAAAAAAAAGTTACGTCACGTATGACCATCCGTATGATAACGCGAATCTCACGTTATTGTCGATATGTGATGACAGGCATCACTAGCGCTTTTTCTGAAAAATGACAACACAGTTCATATCGCCTACTTTTTATTTCGAACAATTTTTTTTCGAAAAAAAGTAAGTAAAAGCTTTTTCAAAATATTTTAAATAATCTTTAAATTTGCTAATTTTAGTCAAATTAATTTTGAAAAACGTAGAATTGATTTTTTGGAATAATTATAAACGAGGATTTTAACTTGTTTACAAAATTAGAAAAAAAATGGCTGATAGCTACTTTTTTAAGAATTTTGATGACAGAAATAAACAACTTTTTAAATAAAATTTCGGACCTGATAAGAATGAGTAAAAATTTTTAAAAATAATCAAAAAATACTTTGGTGTTTCTTCTTAAGAATGATATATATATTTAAGCCGATAAAAACTTATTACATCGTTTTTTTTCATGCTATATTTTTTTTTGTAGCAATTTTGTGGAGGTACCTACTTTAATATAAGAATTTGGAATGTTTTTGTTTTTTGTTTTTGTTGCTTTGTTTCAAAAAATTATTTCACAACATTGACAATGATAGCAATTTAGGGGAAGTAATTCTGTATAACAATAATTGAAGTTACCTCCCTTGAAGTTTATAAGGAAATGGCATACGATATTTTTATCTTAAGTATTTATTTATATCACAACTTAGATAAACTGGTTCCGTTGGAGAAAAATAGAACACAAATTCCGAGAATAATTTCTGAAGATTAACATTCCTTAAACCTCCCTCGAACCTCGAAATTTGTCAGAATAATAAAAATATTGATTTTTTTTTTATTATTTTAGAAGTGGGTCCTGTTCATAATATTGTTGCAGGCCGTGTAAATGTATATACGCGCGTTGTGAAATGTGTACTCCTGGAAAAATTACCCACAACGAATATGGCAGACTCCCAGGAATGAGTCTACAAAATAAATTAAAAGAAAATAAGAACCGATATATATATATATATATATATATATATATATATATATATATATATATATATATATATATATATTATTGTTTTTAAAAATATGATTCCTTCGATACATAAGAGTTCTCATGTTTCAAAAACAAGAGCCGAAACCCTCAATAAAATTATTAAAATTTAGGAATTCCTAAATTTTCGCTTGAGGATGAAACAGGGCTTGTTACTTTAATTCAATTTAATTTTAATAATTATATTGAGGGTTTCGGCTCTCGTTTTTGAAACATGAGAACTCTTATGTAGCAAAGGAATGTTATTTTTTTTTAAATAATTATAATCTAAGCTCTACTTCTGTATGGTGCACTGTTTTTTTTTTAATAAACAAAAATACTAAAGAACCCTAGATTATTTAACTAACATGTTCTTTTTTTCTACATACCTGCACACACACACACACACACACACACACACACATACATACATACATACATACATACATATCTATATATATATATATATATATACAGGGTGTCCATAATGTTTGTGCGCACTTTAAAAACTTATGACTTTATTTTTATTTGCGATAGAAATAATCTGTAAAAATGTTATTTAGTTTTATGTACCTAGTTTTAAGTATAGCTAAAATAACTAATGTGATTTCAGGCATTACTGTAAATCAGTTGGCAAAATTTTTTCCGTGAACTGCAAAATCGTAAAGGTATCTTAATTCCAATTGTAAAGAAAATTTGCTCTGTTTATTGAAAATACGCATGGAGCGCTCTTTTCTGAGTCAGTTTTAACATATTTCATATTCTATGTTGTGTTAATAGGACTCACCTGGATTATATCAACCGATTACTACCTATATATATATATATATATATATATATATATATATATATATATATATATGTATTTATATATATATATTTTGTATTTAGGCAATATTTTTCATTCATACACGTTTCATTAAATAATATAGACAAGTGTTGTCTATTTTATGTAAATTTTTTTCGTAACGTCTGATAAGTTTAATAATATTATCGTTGAACTAAGAAAGAAATTCACAATATTGATCCATATTTTTTTAATACAATCTAATCTTTCGGCTTACTTAAGCCATTACAAATATTCTTAAATGTCTATAATTG